TTTTTTTTTTTTTTTTTTTTTTTTTTTTTTAGCCCTTAAAAAATTTGTGTGAAACCCAAAACAAAAACACTCATTTCATTTCAGTTTCTGTTTTTTCATTGTGTGTTTATGTTTTTGATTTTTTTTAAATATATTTAAGCATCAAAAAATAAAAATAAAGATACAGGGTTGTAGTCCTAAAAAAAACCTACAACCCCATTTTTTTAATTTTTTTTTTTGGATAATTTTTAGCTCAGGAAACAAATCATCCCCGACCCCGTTAATTCGCGTCAAACTCGCGTTTGAATGGGAGTTTAACGGGAATTCAACACGCGTTGAATTTTTCAACGCGGAACCCGTGTTGAATTCAAAATCGGACACACAGCCACTTGCATCTCGAAGCAGAAACGCTTCACAAGTTCAGGCTTCACTTCGTCGATTCATACCGCATCCTACAGGTCGTCGGTTTTGATATTGCCACTAATCAGATCAGCTTTCGGGTGAAGCTGCCTGATTACGTTCAACAGGCTCGCGTATACGATGTTTACCACGTTTCCTTGCTGAGTCTTTATCGCAGACCGTCCGAGCGATTCCCCGGACGCCCTTACGAGTGTCTTCCACCTATCATGGTAGACAGTCACGAGGAAGGGTTATCGTTTTCGACATCGTATCGCATCGAGTAACCGACGATACCCCTCCACACATCGAGTACCTTGTGCGTTAGAAATGTTATTCTGTTAAGGAGGCTACTTGGGAGCCCCTCAAGGACTAGAAGCACATCCGGATGTTGGTGAGTGCATATGATCATGCTCGTTGTGCTGAGTCATCTGCTCCTGCTTAGCCAACTGACCCTCTTCCTCCTCCTTCGACTGCAGAGATTGCTGAGGACAAACTCGCTCTCTCTAAGGTTGTCTTCAATGGCAAACGAACACCTCCCCGCGTTCACAGCGCTCTCGTCGTAGTCCTCTATGTCTCAATGACTGGCACATTTATCACCTATCTGTCTCCCACCACTAACTCACATTATCATGTCCTGCATCATTACCTTCTTCAGGATATAAGTTTTTTATGGCTCAGCTTCGACATCGACTCGATTTCTACTTCATAGACATTATTCACCACTTCGACGTCTTCAACTACCTTATTGACTTCTGCTAATTTGGACGTGACCACTTCACGTCACCACCCTACCTTATGCATTCCTTTGTATGGGTTGCATGATGGTTATCACGTAGTTGGTTGTCTTCAACTGGTGTCCAGCGGTGGAACCAAGTGGACAGTAGAGTCCTCGTAAGTGTAACGAGAACCTGCGACATTCGCATCCTCCCCAGATGTGCAGGAGGCCGCTAGCAAGGCGGTCGAATATGGCGGAGTAGAAGGTGGAGTCGCCTCACCTTCCGCCGAACTCAGTTTCCCGAGTTGAGGTGGGGTCGCACATCCTCCTTGCCCTGATCCTGGCACAGGGAGGTCTTGTGCTTCGTGTTGTTGCACCAATAGCAGCTGCCGTAGCGGCCGCGGACCTTGTACTCCGCCTCGGTCAAGCCGAACTTGACCCATGGAACTTGTACTGGCTGTCCATTGCCTGCGATGCGGATTTCGCCTTCCCATTGTTGCGGGACGTGTTGTTGGGTTATCTCCGCTGTCCGATTGGACTGTAGCAAAGTGCTGCTGTCGCGGACCAGTTCGTACCTTCTCCACATAGGTCGGCTGCCATGTTGACTTCTCGTGTGCAGCTGACCTGTTGGTCTTGATGATTTTCCTCGCCTTGTCAACGATCTCAGTGAAGGTTGAGTACTGCTCGTGATCACCAAGAGTCTGGCTCAATGCAGCATAGGACCTGTTGTAGAACTCTCGGTTAATGCATGAATGGCAAGTCCAGATTGGGCACTGCCGCAATCTTCTGCCACTCCGTGAGCCAATCCCGTGTTGCGGTGTTGCCCTGTGACATGGTGAACAGACGGTTGATGGTGAGTGTTGGCGCGTCGTCGACGATGAACCGCTTCTTCCACAGCCGTGTCAGTTCTTCCCATGTGATTTTGTCCTTCAAGTCCGGTACGTTGACGTCGTGGGAGGTTGCCAGGTGGGTCAACCAGGTCTGGCATCCGCCCTTTGAGTTCATGAACAGAGCGCCGATGTACTCGTGCTTGGCGACGGGCACAATCCTGAGTTGCGTTGTGAATGTTTCCCACCAGAGGACCGGATCCTGCTGCGTGTAGTCGTCGAACCTGTCCAGTTGGAAAGTTGGCATCTTGTACAACTTCGGATTGCCATCCGCGTTCATCGACTGCAGCTGCTGGAACTCGATCTTCAAGGTATGCAACTGGCTGCTGATGGTGGTCGGCGCAGCGAAGGTGCTGATGTCGTCGAGCATTGTCACTACGTGGTCAACGCGTTCCTCAAGTTGGCGGCTAGAGGATGCACTGCTGGAAGCCCCAGCATCTGGTCTTGGTGGTACTTGTTTCAAGTCGTGTACACGGGCGTCCAGTGTCCGTGTGGCATCCTCGTGTTGAGTCTTATGGTTCCGCACGGCCCGCTGGAGGTTCACCAGCTCGGACTGTAGGTGGTTACATGCGTAAACCAACCTGGTCACGAGCTTGGCCATGAACTCCTTATGTTGTTCTTCCGGTGTTGCCTCGTCACCATTTGGTTCAAAGTGCCAGTACTTGAGTCTCTCGATGCTGTTGGCTTCATGCCGCTGCAGCAGATCCAGGGCTTCCTTGCAGCGAGCCTGGGCCTCTGCGTCTGCTTCGGCCTGTAGCCGCAGCTTCTCTGCTGTTGCCGCTTCTTCAACCTGTAGCTGGGCAGCCTTGACTGCCAGCTGGCGTTGTTCCTCAGCCTCGATTACAGCGAGCTGAGCCTGGAAGCGCTTTTTGTAGTCGGCAATGGGCTCATTGGCCAGTTGGCCTGGCAGGCCTGTCATGTTGCTGACGTGGCACTACTGACGTGGCACTGTGTCTGACGTGGCACTGCTCACGTGTCACTCTGTCTGACGTCGCACTGCTGACGTGGCACAGCTGACGTGTAACTGTGTCTGACGTGGCACTGTTGACGTGGCACTGCTGACATGGCACTATGTCTGACGTGGCACTGCTGACGTGGCAGTCTGACGTGGCACTGCTTACGTGGCAGTCTGACATGGCACTGTGTCTGACGTGGCACTGCTGACGTGGCACTGCTGACGTGGCACTGCTTACGTGGCACTGTACCAACCCGGAAATGCATGCAAAGGGTGGGTGGGAGGGAACACGTAGGTAGGCAACCAACCCAACAATACTTTCCTCCGGCCCTAATCAACAGATAAAAAAATAAAATAAAAAAATAAAAGAGGACTACTTCCTTTTTTTTTTTTTTTTTGTATATCTGTCGATCTATTATGAGTAGGACATGTCAGAAGAGTATTATGAACGAGATCTAGGCTAGGTTCCGCAAAGTTTCGGCTATATCTGTCGATCTATTATGAGTAGGACATGTCAGAAGAGTATTATGAACGAGATCTAGGCTAGGTTCCACAAAGTTTCGGCTTTTACAAACTGCGATCTTGAAAGAAAAAAAAATTGCGAAATGGAGTAAAGATGCGATTTACAGAAAAGAACGAAATCCAGTTTCTGAGAATATAGCAACCTCCGAATATGCCTAACGCAATACTGGTAGGCTTCGCAAGATTTCGGTTTTCAAAAAAAAATTGCGGGATAGAATGGAAATTCGATTTTCAGAAAAGAATAATTTCAGTTTCCGAGAATATGACCACTTCTATCGTTATCCCAATATGCCTAGAAAACGAGATACTAACTTCAGAAATTTCAGCTATGTATGCGAAATATCAGAGAAACGAAATGCTACTATCGGGAATTTTCAGACAAAACGAAATGCGATTTATCAGAAATTTTCAGATATTTGTTACGTAAAAACGAACTACTAATATCAGAAATTTTCAGGTAAAATGAAATGCGAATATCAGAAATTTTCAGATAGTTGTTGCGAGAAAAAATTTGCAGAGATTTGACTAAGTCCTACTTGCGTTACTAATGAGTGATCACTAGATCCGCAAGCTGGCTACTTGATTGAGCGGGTCCTCTGAATGAGAGGTCCGCTCCGATACCAAACTGTTGCATACCGTAACGTGTAGACCAGAACAAGAACCGACCTCTCAATGCAAAGTACAAGATAACACAGCGGAAGACTTAGATGCCAGTGATCCGAACAATCAATATTGCAATGCAGCCCTGAACATACATCATCATCATCGTTACATGGTGTGAATGGGGTCTGGCGCTTCACAC